ATTGGGGGTCTGCTCGTTGACGGTGAGGAATTCGTGTATGTACACGCGACGGATTCTTCCGGGTCGGTCCCTCTGGTTTATGGAATTTTTGGAAGTGCCAGAGGTAGGTGACGATGTTTTATCTTGATTTAGGATGCGTTAAATTCTAGGTGTTTTTCCTCGTGGAGGGTGAGATTGGAGATTCGGTGTTTGAGGATGTTGCTCCCTTAGCTGGATTTGTTTATGTTACTTTTGTGATGAGATGGATTGTGATAAAGAGGTACTAATTTTGTTGTTGTTACGAATAACACTGAAGATACTTTGTTTTTAAACCAGAGAGTGTCTCAGTTGTTAATAGTGAAATAAGTTTATTTAATTTTTTAATCGCTCTAGGTGTGCAGCAGTAGATTATACCTATACTCTTGGAATATGAAAATATGTGAACCTTCGTAAATCATATTTCTATATTTCGGAAATAGTAAAAATAATATAGCGATGCAATATTTAAGGAAAAAAAAATTGACATTTCAGATTGTTTTGAAAGGAAATTAATCATAAATGGAAGTTAAGTTCAACGAAGAATTATACATGATATTGTAAATTTTGTTTTCATACATATATTACTCCGTCAAGTAAGAGAATTGGGATTAATACTAAACAATTTATCCGCATTCATTGCCACATTCCATTTATATTATAACCGAACACACACGCACACGAAGCTAATGAATATGCAATCGAAGCTTTTTATAAAGATTTCAATTAATGAAAACCGATAAAATATTTTCTGCAAATCCAGATGAATGATTTATTTCGGTATTTTGCAGCACGTAAATAACAATTTAAATGCCATTATATTCTATATTCTATATTATATAATAAATTAATGATATTAACATTAATATCGTCAGACTTCAGAAATATAAATTCAATATTCGCTTTGATGTGCATCGTAAAATTTCTCTGAGGTACATTCGATTTCGCTTCACTGAATCGCAAGCTGCTTGATTGCGTACTCTGTGTATTGTGCGAATAATGCGTTACGGTAAGTCTTTAACGAAAGCTTAACGGAGCTTTTATACGAAAGTGTAGAGTACAAAATATAAGGAAATATATTTTTAACGCGTAATAAACAGCTGCTTTCAAGAAATTATTAAATATAGTAAAAAAAAAGTTTAAATACGCTTCTGTCTATTCTCTAAACAGAATTTAAGGGTTGAGAAGGGGAATATGTATCCCTTCAATTAATTATGATACAATAATACTTGTATAAATAATTTCTTATAATTTCACTCAAGATTCTTCTCATTAGGAAAACCTTTTCCACGTCAACAATTATGCATTTTATGTAATAAATATTCAAAGTTACATATTCAATACAAAAACGTTTTTAAATATTATCAATGTAATCTACAAGGTTAATGCATTACAAATATCTCGAACATATTTAAATCCCACTTCTTTTGAGATACGTTTATGAACATTCTATAATATATTATGAAAAGAAGAAAGAAAATATTGGCTTTTGCAGTACATATTTTCTTTTCTTTTTTACTAATACCTGAGACTATTTATATTATTACGTTGTAGCATATTACGGATACAATATGCATACTTTGATAAACATTGAAGCGCCGAATTTCTACTTGCTTCTAATAATGATTATTTGTTTAAACGTCCATAGAAACTACTGGAACGTTTCACAGGAAACGAAGAGACAGTATGTACCTACAGGAGTGTTTTTAAAACTGAATTTCATCTTCTAATATCTCGACTACGTGCAGCACGCGAGGAAGTTTGCTTACAGAGCAAACAACCGCGCACCACTCGCTGTTTTTTTCCTCTACCGGGGGTATTCCCTGATGAAAAGACAATTATAACTCTCGGAAAATAATAATATTTGTACCTGTTCCGATGCACGGCCAATTTAGTCGATAAAGCAAATAGACCCGAAGCGGATTCCGCCTCACCTTACTTTCGAACATACCCTTGTCATTACATTTTGTATTCTTACAAACTTTTTGTTTCTGGCTAATGAACGTTGCCCCCTTTTTATCAGAGAATCATGTGAAAAATAAGAACAAAGGCTCTTTAAAGTACACTTCACTAGTGCCTTGAAAATACTCACAATCGTCGGACTAGCGTTAATAAATTAAATAAAAATTGAAGGCCTAAGACTTGAGGGGCTTATAGTACTACTCCCCGAGAGAAGTGAAAACTGTCTAATGAACACAAGTCCTAAAATTGATCCTTTGAAAGAAAAATCCAATAGTTTGTTTCCACCAATGTTTATTTCCACTTCAATACAAAACTCACATAGTTTCGAATATAGTTTCAAATATTCTTTCCGTACCTAGTATTTACACGTACACTGTATGCCATAACTATAGCACAACCACCCTAAAATTTTCAATCCTTATATATTGTGGTTAAAATAAAGACGAACCACTTTTCTCGGTAGGGAATATAATATATCCTTTTCTGGAGAAACATTATTTCTCAACACGAGTTCAGACATAGCATACTTGTTTCGTTTTTATTTCAACCACAATACACAAGAACTGAAAATGTTAGGGTGGTTTTATAATTATACAATGCGCAGTGTATATAGATTCACGGCCTAGTAATGAATATTATTAATGGTGCATACGTTTAAAAGCGGTGGATCACTCTTACAGAATGCTACAACCTTCTTTTCTAGAATCCTTTAGCCCACCCTCACTCCCTAATTTCTCATAAACCGAACACACTCTCGCTAAGACGTAACCCCCCGAAACCCTTGAGAACAACACATCCTTCTGCACATACGTAAACGCAACAGTACGCAGCGATCAAACAGAATTCCCGAACAGCGTCGTTCTCAGCCTGAAATCTGCGCAAAGCGTTCATTCCGCAGGCCCAGCCAACCCTCTAATTACTTCAATCAACCCGGCATAGTTCCCCCGGAAAGTGACTTTAAAGGAATCAGCCGTCGCGCGCATTAATTACTCCGAAAACACTCGAAACGAGCGCGCATCCCCCGTCGTACTCTGACCTCCTTCGGAGCCAGTTTCCATCCGTCGCACGCACGCGAACTCGTCGTCAAAGAGCCGCCGAAAGGAAGATTCTTACGCCGCCAATGGCCGACCGGGAGCCGGGGATAAAGCGGAGATATTGCGACGCCAGTGCGAACGTGGGAATACCACGGCTGCTATCCGCTCAGCCTCATTAATGATGATGTGCTTGCCACCCAGTTGCACTTCTATTCCCCTCTCTCTCACACATACACTTTATCCCTAGCTCACATATATCCGCACACCCTCTACATATTTCAACGTGTATGCCTGTGTCTACGCGAGATCCTATCCTCCTACGTGTCCTTCTTCACCTCCCCTTCTATTGCTGTATCTCTCCCTCTCTCCCCCTTTCTCTCTCACTCTTCCAGGGGGATGTCTTTCCGAGGAGAGCCAGCGGAAGCTGATGCCCGGCCAGCCACCGCACGTTCACCCACCTTCCATCCCTCTCGCGGCGGATTCAACCCTCCTACAGGCTCGGTCGACCTACCTACCGCTCACCCCCCCCTCCACCCGGACCACGAAAATACAGCTCGTACATCTCGAACAGGCCACCACCCCTCTCCAGTGCTCGATTCCGCGCAACCTGCGCGGACTTTTTCGCTCTCACCGTTAAGTTCTTAGGTGATATTAATAGAAAACCACGGGTGGATCGGGAACCGGGGAGGGGCGATGGGGCTTCTATTAAGGGATGATTTGTGATTCCTGATCGTCACGGGTGAATTGGTTCCTTGGCCGCGCGAGAGGAGAGGGGTGAACTCTTGGCGGCGGTAAGACGGGGTGTTTCTTGTGCAAATGAGTATGAACGATCGGGGAATAGGCAGTTGGAGATGTTGGGGAATCTGATTTTGTTAGGTTTGTATTGGGTATTGGTGGGAATCAGTGGATGTTTGTTGGGAAGTCGCGTTTGCGTTGTGTTAATTGGGATTTGAGCGTCGATCGGTGTCGTTAGTACAGGTTTTGTGTTAAATTGTTGTGCGAAGGTGATTAGATTTCTCTTTCTTTTGATATTTAATATTCAGGATACTAGTCATCGATTTTTATATATTTCTGATAAGGCTGGTTACGCAGATGTTAAATTAGTTTTGAAAAAATAATGGTTGGAAGTTGTAGGAGTCGATCTTCTAAAAAATGAAGCAATTTTCCGGGTGAGTGACAATTATTTCAGTTCTTAGGAGGTCGAGTCCTATAACTTAGAGCCATTATTTTTTTAACTCATATAACATCTGGGTGACTTCCCTTGCGAGGGAAATGGTGGCTGCCATGTATTGCTGTTGATATTCGTGGGGGAAATAATAAGGGGTGCGATAATAGTAAATAGTGACAAATAACATCAGGAAAAGCAATAATAAAATAGGAAGTAATATTTTAGAAACGTGTATTATATAAGAAAATTATATACATATACAAGAAACTTGCGTCATATTATAAGGTTATAAGAAGGTACAACGTGTAAGAAGTGTAAAGTAAATAGGCACTTTTGTCTAACAAGAAAATCTTTCCTTTATAAAAATTGATCGAAAATACGGTATACGGACATTTTTTTCTATTTGCAACTTCATTCTCGATAAAATCGATTTTAAGTTTCCGTGGATTATGTGTACTCTTGAATATACAGTACGACTAGTGTGTCCGACTATTACAAGGTGTATCTACTTTTAATTATAATTGCTGACGGAACGCCACCACCAATTTTGCATCGCATTTCTTGTGGTGAAGCTATTATGGACATTAAATAGTATCCATATAATAGTATATTTAATTTCGTTAATTATTACTTGCGTATTTGAATTTCAGCATTAAAAAAATCATTCAGTTTGTTTCAAGATTCTTCTCTTTAACAGTATGAGTAAATAAATCGAATTACTTTAATTAGGAGAACTTTGTTAGGTTAACTAAGAGTATATTAACATTGAAAAAGTAAGTGAAGCACAAGGATAATATGTGTATGTCATGGCTAATGTTTAGCAGTACAACATGTACGTGGTCCGAGAAAGCCGAAACCTCACTCGATGATTTCGGAGAAACAACAGTCGCCGATTGATAGCAGTGATAGATTGAGGACTGGTCCCGGTTCCGGTTACGTCTTATTACCTTCCAGGTGTGTAATGTTTTTGTTAAAGAAGCTGTTTGAAAGTCAATACCGAAATATCCTTTGTTCATACCATTCCTACTTCAATTTTTATATGATTCAAATTTTATATAATTTTTATTTGATTGTTTTACCATTTAAAAGAGCAGTTCTTTTTATTGAAAAATAAATAGAAAAAGACGATTGTGCCGAGGCAATAAGAACGTATTTTTGTTCCTTTATATTCAGGCTTGTAAAGATTTGATGTACATTATCATTTTTTAAATCGTTGAAGATAAAAATGGTCTATCCTATAACCGAACCAAAAGACTATTGTAGATTATATTTAATTACTTAAACAAAATATATTCAACCAATAATCGAATATTAAAATACAATTCTAGTTTCAATACCATGTATTCCCCATATTCCTCGAAATCACTAACAATGATTTTTTAAAAGAAGACTCTTTATTTACTTAAACTACCGTTCAAAAGTTAGAGGTCACGAAACATTAAATTATAATTATACAAAAGAATCGTGAGAGGTGCAAATAAGAAATAGTTCCTATTAGATCGTTGCACATGAAATGAGCAATTTTACTGACGGGTATATTTAACATCACTTTTATGAATGGACATTATTAACAAAGCTCCTTTATTTATTGCAAAATTACAAAGCGTACTCTACTTGTTTCAACATACTATGAAAAACGGGTATAGAGTTCATTTAATCTTATTTTCTCTAATAATGTTCAATCTAATATCAAGTGCCGGTAACAAAACAACCATTTCATATGCAACAACCTTATTTTAAGTGATCCCTAACTTTCGAACGGGGTATAGTTTTGGGGAACGAATGAAAACGTAATGACCGTAGAAGGTTAAGGTGCGACCAAAGGATCATGTCTTACCCAAGGCCGGTTGGGCTGGTCCAGAAACCACCGGAGGACTCTCAGTCCCCTGTACCACTGGCTCTTTCGCATTCTCCTTCGACCACGACCCTCTATTCGGCGCCCCCGAGCGTCACCCTGCCGCCGCAACCACTTCTTCAAATACTAATGTCCGCGGAGAAGTGTCAGGTAAGTAATTCAGCTCAATTTGCTCGACTCCCGTGTTTCCCCCTTTACAAACTTTCTAACGGCAATCGAGTGAATCGTTCCACCTTTTCGTCCAACTCACTAAAATTTACCGATTCTGAACCGTTTCGTCGCGATACCTTTTCTTCGTTCAAGATACATTGTTTTAGATGAAATAGAACTATCCCCATCGAGTGCTGTATTATTTTAACTCTGAAGCTTGCATACACTACAGTTCATAATTATTCGAACGAATTTAAAAGTTCAGGGAATGGAAAGTTACATTTCCTAATAAATAGTGTGTTAATAATAATAATGTAAATTTATTTTACGGGAAGTCCCTTTTCTTACATGAGAGAGATCTCGGAATGTACAGTATTGTACGAAATATTGACTTAAGAAACTACTTAAAAGTACAGAGTATACGTAGAGTATAGAGTATAGAGTATAAAGTCTCGCGTTTAGGGTATTAGTATGAAAATGTGGGAGAAAACATAAAGATAGGTAAGGCTTAAGGAGAAGGGAGAAAAGAAGAAGATTAAGGAAAATTATGAGAATTTACGAATAGCGTCATGAGCAGAAAGCCTAAAGGAGTTTGGGGAAGTATTAAAAAAGTTAACCCTTCGCGGTCCAAAGTATTCTGGACGTTTTTAAGACACAATTAACACATTCATTTGGCTTTTTAAATGACAGTGAAGGATGAAATCTCCATCGTTCTAATGATTATGAGCGGCAGCGTATATTCTAAAATATATTATTTTCGAATATAACAGAAACAGCGTTGAATAATGTGGATATGATTAAAAAAAATAATTGGTTCTTTAAACTGCATGACTGTTCGTAATATAATGTAAACATGAAAGTATTTTCTATATCCAGAAACTGGCCGCTAACGACCTATATAGTTGATGCGATCCTAAATAAGTAAAATAAACCATCAGAGTTATACTTACGATGACGTGTAACAAACATAATTCAAGTCCACAAATTCTCGATTAGTTTTATTTTTAAATAAGAAGATTGTTGTTTATGTGCATCAATTATTAACGTTTTTATCTACAGTTTGCCAACAACACAGTTTGGCAAAATTTAATTAAGGTAATAACTAATTACTACCGTTACTGAGTAATCAATAATTATTTTGATTATTGTTATTACTAAGTAATAAAGTATTTATTAATATTGTAGTGTCATTATAGGATATAGTTGTCACGAGGGAAATTATTAAGATTAACCGCCTTCACAAATTTGAAATATAAATGAATACGTTTTTTCATATCTATGGACAAAGAAATAATATTATTTATATTTTTTCAATGTGTAATTGTTTATCAAACACATATTTACATAAATATATACATAAGTATGTCATTAATTTGGATTCTTAAAATTGATAATTGTATCCTAGAATGTATTATATTTTTATAGACTAACTTTTATAACACGAAAATTAAAACAAATTTATACATTTCTGTCATGTATTAATATATTATATTAAAAATCATATTTCTTTATTAAATAATTTATTTTTATAGAAATATTGTAATTTCTTATTTATATTTCAACATCTGTAAAAAATGCTATCACTTTGTTTTGCGAAGGAACTCGCATGGAATGCACGGCCACACCCGGAATCAGAATATTCTTTGGAACAAACGGAAGCCAGTCTCAATTCAACGGGGACTTTACAAACCCTTACACCTATTCGAGAATCACTACAGGTATAATTTACTTTTTAGAATATTTCAAATAAATTATTCATATGAATAATTTATTTACTTAATAAAATTCGAATATTATTAAAATTGCACTCTGAGTTGAGCTCTATGATTCAGTTAAAAAGGAAAAATGAAACGATGGCATCAAACTTTAAAGAAGTTAAAAACATTGTTGCTTTTCCGGAACGTTAAAATTATATAGCAAGTAGCAAATCTTGTAATGTTCCTCAAAATTGTTAACTGTTAAATATAATTTGATGATTTATCTAGTTCAATTACTCAAATAGTGTCAATTCTATATTCAATACTAAATGGCGTAATGTGTGTATATACATAATAAAAGTAATGAAATTATGCTATAATATAATAATATTCTATTATAAATTAAAGAACGAATGTTACGAATGATAAGCTTAAAACATTTCATTTGAAAAAAAAAAACACTTTTTTAATACGTTAGGAGACTACCGCTCGTCTACTATTTATGGCAGTGAGATGGTTTCGTTCTCTACCACCTATCCAGACACTTTCGGAAAACGATCAGTTGGTATTACTAGAAGGTTCTTGGACGCAACTTTTTCTCCTTCACCTGGCGCAATGGTTTATGCCCTGCAATATTACCGAGTTACTGGCGGACGAGCAAATACGAGAAAGATTATCGAAAGACAAGGCTGCAACGAATCAAGATTTAATTACAATCCAGGTGATTGATTTAAACATCTAACATGATTTGAATCAACAAAATTAATTACCAAACGAAGTTCCATTGACACGAAACTTTCCGTAATTAGAGTTTCTAGTGACAGTGAAAAGAAAATTTAACACCTCAACATTTTAAGCTCAATTATAATAATATAAATGCTACTTTTAGAATGTACAGAACATTTGTTTATTTATATTACAGTCTATAATACGCCGCTTCAGACAACTTGCGCCCGATGTCGGTGAATGCGGATGCATGAAGGCAGTAGCACTATTTACTCCAGGTAATATATGTAAGCCCCTAATTTAGGTTTACGAAAGAATTTTGAACGTCTGAATTGTTTGTTGCATTAGAAAAAAAAAAGTGGTTTGGAAAATATAAAACAAAGAGACTATGGAAGATTCACCGCGGTTGAAAGTGATCAAATTATCGCATTAGTTACAAGTAATCAATACAGCACTATTAGAGACATACCCGGGAAATTAAAAATAGCAGTGAATACATTATTGAATAAACACAAAAATGAATGTTTATGTAATACTTAGGCCTGTATTTTCCTTTAAAATCCTAAGAAACTTTTGGTTCGATCCAATATTAAGAGAAATATTGATGCAGTGAAATCGAAACCCAATAAAGTAATTAAATTTTCAAATTTTTCACTGTGTTATTTTTATATTGTTTTGAACTTCTTGTTATTACTCACGTGGTACAACCGAATTGTGCCATAGAACTGGAAGGTCTCCAAGCGGTCGAATCGATCAGAATGTTACAAGATCAGGCTCAATGCATTCTGGGAGATTACACATCGTCTCGGTATCTACAGCAACCTGGCAGAACCGGGACCCTAATGTATCTGGTCGGCTACCTGAAATCAGTCAGCTCGAAGACAGTCGAGCGTTTGTTCTTCCACGAGACCATAGGCGAAATTCCCATTTCACGTTTGTTGGTCAACATGTTGCAGATGTAAAAATCGTAGAAATTGAAGTGTTCGAAAACGTAACGCGATATGATGTACGGCTCTCTAAAACTCTTTCGATTTTTCGAGCCAGATGTCGTGGAGAATCAGATAAGTTTTCGAAACCTGTTAACTGAAGAAGACTGTAATTATAGAGGTGTACGAAAAATCTCGGATCTGTTCGTAATCAATCGATTTTACGTGACTCTTGACGAGTCCTTTGGAAACTTGGTGGGATAAGTTGCAATAGGAATTGTAGGCTAGGGCTGAGACTACTCAGACGATTTGATATTTAAATATTTCATATCATGGACACTCGTGTATTACTTTTGCTATTCTAATATTCGAATGAAATTGATCTAATTTAAAGAATCATTTTATAACGAAAGCTTTTCGTTTTAGGGCCCATTGTACACCTTTTGGCCATTTCGTTGGCGGAAGAGGTGTACAGTTTGTACCGTTATACGTATTGTGAATATCTTGTATAGAGTATTAATAACTAATAATAAAAATATTTTCCTTCTTTTCTGATCCAGTCAATGTACTGTAGTATAAAGACTGAAATGAAAAGTTTTCAACAATTTTTATCACTGAATACGAAATCATAGAACAGTGCAGGAATGGATTACCTACACATAAATCAAGTCATCTGAAATATATTAACAGTAACAATTCCTAGAGGTTAAAATAGATCACTGCCAGGTCCACTATCTTAAAATAGACATTCGAATATTTAAATACTTATATAGATAAAAATTCAACAAGTAGTCCCAGCCCTGTTATAGGCTGTTGATCATTCATGTTTGGTTAAGAAATATCGAAGATGTATTTGCAAAGCTTTAGTAGCGATATAATTTGCAATAACATACTGTGTAAATTACTTTTGATTAAATATCAGATAAGCTTCGAGATCGATTAAATGCATATGGTTTTCAGAAAACTGAATATCATAGAAACGACAGGCTGTAGAAGACTGTTCGATGAAACGAAGTTATGTATAAGCAATGTTTGTAAAGTACTTTAGAATAATCTACACTTTAATTATATTATATTATGAGACATCATTTATTATTTGTGCGAGTACTAAAATCATGCATATCAAAGAATTAATATATTTTACATCATTATTCTTATTTTTCATTTGTACATACAATTATGTAAATTTATAGGTTCTATGTACAAATTCATGTCCTTAGGAATAAGATATTTTTGTTCGTGGTGTAATTATATTAGATGTTTTTCGGAGTACGAGAACAAAAACAAAGATTAGAGATATAACTACTTCGTTTTCAAACTTCTTGATGTTTTTTAATAAATTTTCTATATGAACAGGTTGTAAGATCAATTGTAAGTCGGAATTATGTGTGGTAAGATTAATATGTTTTCGATAGTGTAATAGTTGTTAAATACATAGTGAAACCTCGGTTATTATGCGATTTTACTTAAGAACAACTAGAGATCAAAACTAGAGAATTTGTATATATATATAATGTTTGTTGTAAACAAACAGATTTCTGTTTGGTAGGCCAGATACTGTGTTTTATATAATATTAACACATAAATGATTTATACAAACAAAATTGTAAAAAGCAAATTCTAGTATTAATGGTGCTTTCTGTATTTAATCCCTTATCGGTGTAAAAAAACAAACTTCATTCAGTAAATTAATTTTTAAAAAATTCCTTCTTTGTCACGATCATTATTTCCTGTATATGTAAAATGCATGTTATACTACCGAACAATTTTTAAGACTTTGTTAAAATGTTATTGCAATAAAATCAAAGGCAAAAATCGTATCTGCGTGATTTTACAGAAACAGCTAATTATGATACTAAAATACAAGATATAATATACTGTTGCAGAAAGAGAAGACAGTAACTGGGAGTAACTTTCCTCTCTTTCTAATGGGGCTGTTGGTGGGGGTTACTCCTATGGTTGTAGTAGGTTTAGTTCACATTTGGACAGCTCTTATACCGTCATACGGGTAGCTTTCGTCTAAGTAAAGCACTCGATTTGTAGCTGAAAGAACGTAGATTTATCTTCTATCATTGAAAATAACAATAAACAACCAGAACATTGTTAAAATCGCATTTAATCGTAGAATACCACTATTTTTTTGACCGGTGGCGCCACCCGTGGCGATTCGTTGAAACTGCTAGCCAAATGATACCGACAGCTAAGTGAAAATTCCTAATGATGGAAAAATGCGAATATCACAGTAATTAAGCGCTCAAAATGAACGTCGTTAGTCCTAAATGATTCCTGAGGACTTAATGCATGGGCCCAAGAATGCAGACCCCAGAATTAGTAAAATTATTTATGCCGATATTAACGCAGCCCCTTATAGAGCGACAACCCTAATTGCACAGATGTCAATCGCATTTACATCGCTGAACAGGCACCATTTTTCCTCGTCACGCATTAAATTCAAAGTTTCAAGAATGTAGATTAGTACTCTCTAACGGCTGGTAACCAGTAATTACAAGAACATTGTTAAAATCACATTTATTTGCAACGGTGGACACTGTATCTCGTCACGCGTACCCCGTTTAGTTCACTTTGGACAGCCCTTACACCGTTATACGGATAGCTTTCATTTAGATAAAGCACTCGGTTTGTAGCTAAAAGAACGTAGATTAATGCCCTGCCATTGACAATAACAATAAACCACCAGAACACTGTCAAAATCGAATTTAATCGCGGATTACCACTACTTTTTCGGCCGGTGGCGCCACCCGTGGCAAATTGCTGAAACTCCTAGCCAAATCATACCGACAGGAATGCGAAAATTTCTAATGATGAAGAAATGCGAATATCTCAGTAAATAGGCACTTAAAAAGTAACATTAATAAAATGTCCATTAATTATTTATCCCTTAACTTTAAACTGAAGCATCGGATATTTTTATTCCCTTCAAATCATATAGATACACGCAATATGAATGAAATATATAACATTTCATTTGTGCTAATAATACTCAGAATTCACGCTTTATCGGTAACGTCGGGTATTGAACCTAAAATGGTAACAGGGTTACGACTGTTACGAGCCCTATGTACGTGGGACAGAAAAAAGCATTGGATGATAGGTGTATTCTATACCTAGTCAGTGGTTATATCATATACAGTGAAGGAATAATTAGAAACAATGAAGAATAATGAATAAATTAATGATTATAAATTATAATCTACATGTTACCTAGCAAATTATTCTTTTAGAATTTCTTGTTTTTTCTACTGATTTTTACAAACACGAATAGTAATGTAAATCATCCTAAAATCATATTGAATACGTTTTTCTGTTTAAAGATCTGATTAAAGGACTTACGATCGCAGTGAGCAAATTCACTCAAAATAAAAAAATTGCAATCACGGTTGTGAATGAAGTTAAATCACGACCGTGATCGTGGTTCGGCGATCACTGTGATAAATCACCGTTTGTGATTTTGAACGTCATCTCTAGTCACGAAGTCCCAAATGGTCCCACACAGCAAATCTATTCTTACATGGTGTGTACGTCAGTGTACGATTCAATAAACCGGTAAACATGGATTCTTTTAAAACGTTTATGGACATTTTTACTCGATCCGTAAGGGAAATATCAGATCAAAATAACAAAGATCAAAAGAGTAGCAGTAATCTAATACAAATTCTAAGGGATAGTAGAAAGTATTTTCAAAATATATTGAAAGATGATAGCGGTATGTATGACAGATAGTTAATGGTACTCTTTTTGTTATTACATTACACTCTGTTTCACTCATTATATTGCGTTTTACCATGAATTTACAACAAAAATACATTGTATTATTAATATCTAATGTTTATTACTTTGTTTTTAGAGTTGGTGTTATCTATATTATTTGATAAAGAAGAAGGGTTGCTCTGTTTTCTTAACAATGCACTTAAAAAGTCCACAAAGCCTCAGAGAGACTTTGACACAGCAATTAAGGAAGCATATCATCTTCTTGAATTTGTTATAGAACAATTTTCTGAAATATTTGTACCATACGTCATTGACACAAAAGTATGAAAGTATATTTTATTCATTAAACGATATAATGATTTTTGTATTCTAACTTTAGTTGGTTACAGAATATATGCCAACAGGCACTTGAAACAAAATGCTCTTTATTTATTCAAAGAGCTGCCAGTAATGCTTTCAATAAATTAATTGACTTGCTCAAAGAATATGAAATGGAATTAGGTGAAACTATAAAAAGATTTGTATCTTTGTTTCCTATAGTAGACATAAAAGGTAACATTTTAATGTCAAATGAACTTGAGTTATGTACATAATTGTATAAAGTTTTGTTGTGAATTATTGTAGAAAGGAGTGTACTATTCCTTGTAATTGGTGAAATTACAAAGCATAATCCAGAAATTCCAGAGGTAAAGGAGTATTCAACTATGATTTTCCAGCAGTTACGAAATGACATCATAAAACAGGTATATTGTTCTCATTAATTCTAATGCATAAGTTTTTATGTCTTGATTTATAATTGTAGTATAATCCACAAACTGTATCTCAATCAGCTGATATATTTCAAGTATATTTGGATGTTCTTTCAAATTTGTTGGGAGAGCTGTCATGCGATTTAAAACAAAAGTATTGCAAGGAATTATATGGTTGGGTGAAAGATCTAAGTCGACCAGAAAGATATCAAGTTAAAAAAGTTTCAATGAGATCAGCTGTAAATTTATTGTCCCGTCATATCTACCTGTTTTGTGAATTCGTTTATTGCGATTATAAACATTGGTACAATTTATTAGTAAATCTTGCCCAAGACAAAAATCTGCAATGTAGTGAATGTGGACAACATGCTTTGAAAAGTTTTTATCGAATGATTGGAAACACATTAAAGTACAAAACTTCTGAAGAAGACAAAGCAGTGTTTTTGGTAAGCTTCATATTTGGCATTATATTTAATATAATGAGTGTGACGACCTACAATTATTATGTTTTAGTATTTTAAAAATCTTTTGGAGGAACAATTAAAGAGTAATCAGCAGGCCAACACAAATATATTACGGTTTATTATATATGGCTTTAGTCAAATGGCTGCCCCATGTAAAAGGTACCTCACAGATAATAATGTGAGGGAGATGTTCTCATTGATTGCCCATTGTGCTGTACCACTCTATTCCAGGTATAGACTGTACCATGTACACATACTGTACTACATATTAAAATTATTGTGAGTGTACATTTAAATTTAAATCAAACTATTATATTAACGTTTATAGGGAAGATTTAGGACGATTAATGTTGGAAAGTACTTGCGATTATCAAGAAGCCCTGTCTGAAATAATATTGCATACATCAGACTTATCGATTGATCAGATTAATATAATTTTAAAGCTCAGTATTATTTTAATTAAAAGATTTCCCGATCTTCCTGTCACTAGTCGAAGTTCTGCAATTTCTTCACTGATACATACAATAATTAATGTTGGGATAGTCAGTAAAACATTGTTGGAAGAATTTCTTTATAATTTAAGTACGTATGTTATTCACAAACGTTTTTTTTTATCAACAATACTATACGATTAGTTTCTTAATATAAGTATGTTTCGTTTTCTTTCTATTCAGTTCAGGATGGAATAATATGGTCTTGTTCGCATACTTTGTTCATCGATGCGGAATTACAACGTGGATTACAAAATCTTGGAGAACGCCCAGTATGCTACAAGAACTATTTACCATTGTGGTTACAACTTTTAAAACTAGAGAGATACAAACAACATCAACAAATTCTGCAAGTAGTAGTGGATTCAATGATACATGTGTCCATTGTTCTGATTAGCAAATTGAATCTGAACACAAAAACAAAAGAAGATAACATATTCTCAGATGTGGCTTTTTCTCAAATTGGTGAGAATAATGAAGATTTCCGAATGTTTGTCAATATTGTAGATTTGTATGTTGATATAATCAGCGAATTAGAGTCCTCTTTATTGATAAATACTTTACACAAATTCTTGTTAAAAATTATCGGCATGTCTTACAAACGTCCTCTAATATCAGGATTTTATAAGTTAGTGTATGCAACTTTTAAACACATTTCTAATTTACTTAACGATGAAATTGAAACAGAAACACTGGAACTACTATACAAATATCTAATGAATATATTGAATTTGATTTCTACATTCTCTGGTGAATTATTAACTACGTGTTTATCATTAATTCTTAATGTACCAGAGATATACATAAAACGCATACTAAACAGTACAATTCCAACATTTAAGATCGCTTTAACTGTAGGTTTAAGCGATTTTGAAATAGCTTATACTGCTTTGAACACTTTAGAAAAATGGACAAGCCACTTAAACAATCGACAGACAGATAAATTTTTACGGGAAATCGTACCACTTTTAGAACCATATTTACACAGTGGAGAAAGCTGCGTAGAATTTTTACAAGACATCATAAAAACAGAGCGAAAGGTTATTAAGCGTGTTATACTCAGAGATGATGAGAATACTTTAGAAAGATTTCAGATGAGAATTCTGTTATTTATTGCCTCACTCGATACTGACATAATAATGAATTTTGTGTACAAGAGATCAATGGACACAGGAGCTACTTGGGATAAGAAAGATTTACTCAAGTACTCATTGATGTTGTCAGATACAGAAGTGGATGTATACTTCGATAAAATTTTACCAAGATTGACTCAATTAGCTCAAAACTCTGGGGATAGGCGAACAAAAATAATTGCCTGTGAAGTACTTCATTCTGTGATAGTGTTCATTGTAGGTAAAACATCAACATCAAATATGAATAGATTTGCTCCTGTGTATAAGATTATATGTCCAGCTTTACTCAGTTTAGGCTGTGATCTTGATGAAGCAGCAAGCAAAATATTTCACCCATTGACACTGCAGTTGATACATTGGTTGAGTTCACAATTTATGCTCAATTCTCTAGCAACTACATACTTTGTAGATTCGCTGTTTGAAAGTTTAAATAATGATTCAAATTCTTCGCTTAGAGAATTTTCTGGAATGTGCTTAGCCGAATTCACCAAGTGGTCCATAAAGCAGTCTGATAATAAGAAAAAAATTCAATTGAATATCGATGGAGTGATATATAAAATTACGAATTTCGCACTTCATCCCTCTGTGTCCAAGCGAGTAGCAGCTATAACAGCTTTTAATCATCTTTATATTGTCTTACGAGAAGACGAAGAAATTGTCTCTGAATACTGGTTGGAACTTTTGTATTGCTTTGTGAAGAGTTTAGATGGTTGCAATGATCCCTCAATTAAGACTGCACTCGAGCACGTTGAGAGAGTTCTAATTGCAAAAATGAATTTACTGAACGCGGAAGACGATAAGCGTAGAAAACCATATGACTTTGAAGGTTCCACTTTGACAGATGCTGTGTATTGGTTGTTGACACAATGTGGTGGTATAGACCAATATTATCGAGCAAAATGTATGGAACTAGTTGTCAAACTTTCTAAACACATAACAAATTGTGACTCGGCTAAGGCAATGATAAATAATTACATTAATACTCATGGTATTGAAACATTTAATGCGATAATATTGAAAGGCTTAAAATCAAAGATAGATAGTCTTTCATTTAAAGCTATTGCGCCTCTTTTAAGGAGTTTGGACTGTTACATTTGGCTGATACGAAATGACCTACTGACTGTACAGTACTTATTTGCAAATTCAAATTCTGAAAGAGAAGTAATTTTCAACTGTGCAAGGAATTTTATTCATGTAGTGAATCAAATTAAAATAGAAACAAAAGACGACGATTCAGTAATGCTATCAAAAGAGCTTGAAGAACTTCAAATATTGCACTGTAAATTAATAATGACTTTATTCGATTTCTTACAAGTTCTTCTGAATTTTGATGAAAATTATATACCAGATTTCTTTTTAAATAAAGATCTGTTTGAATTAATTGCAAAATGTATAATGTGTCCCGAAGTGATAGGTTTTGACACAAAAAATTTTGAAATTTCTGAAGCACTCCCACTAGTTATGGAAAATTTGCTGAAGTCAATAATACGGAAGAACGATGACACTTTACTGAGTCGCGTGAAACATGAATTATCTGTGCATGTGGAGAAGCATACGAATAATTTTATTGACATGGATAACATTGTTTTTGGCAAAGAGAGTTGCAATGAACTTAAGCAATACGTTCGAGGTTTAAGTTTTCTGGAACAACATGATATTTTTAATCGATTGTATAATGGAACACAATTAATTGATCATCCAGAGGATAAAATTGGATGTATCTTCAAAGTTTTGGCACAGAAACGAATGGATGTATTCGTTTGTGTAAATATCAAAGCACCAGTGAAAGATTACTTACGAATTCTGATAGAATTGCTACTTATACATTACGAGCCTACAATAACAAGAACATTGATTACATTAATTACAACTAATACGATACTTGGATCAGATCTTAATAAAATTGAACATGGTATATACTTTTTGAATATGTTCAAAAATGAAATATTTCGATACATGTTGAAGGACATAGAAAAGACTATAGAAGTATTTGATGATCTGTTGCAAGCGAATCCACCTTTTTTGTTAACAATAACTGAGCAAGTGTTCGTGTTTGTCCAACGACATAAGAATGAGTTACATGAATGTAAGCAAAAGTTGATAAGCATTTATGGAATCGCTGTGCATCTGAAGGACAAGCCAACCGAAGTACTGTCCTTGAGCAAAGATTTCTATACATGGATTCTCAATCAATTAACAGAGAGCTCCGATATAGAGTATAAAATTAAGATCCTTCAGAATTTTCTCGTTTGTCTGACCGACATGACGTGTAATACAAGACCAGAATTGCTCGTCATCTTACATACTCTGCGAAGTCACAGACTTGATATGTGCCCAAATGATTTCGCACAAAGAAACGTGAAAGCTTTGAAAATCATTAACTGCTTTCAAACGTTATTAAAGTTGCTAGCAGTAACTAAGTCAGTGGTATTATTTAAAACTATCATTTTATTCACGGCCGGTATCGCCGAACAACTTTGTAACGAAACAACAGACGAGTATCTGCGAAAATATTTCAATTCCATTACCACTGAATACGCTTTGGAGTCCATTGAAACAGCATACAAGTTGTTTATGAACTCGAACACATCTATCGACGAAAGATTCGATATTCTACGTAAATTTCTTTTACCGCTATTTCATTTATCCAAAATTCACGAAATATGCAAATTTTTTGAAAGGAATATCAAAGAAATATATACTATCGTTCAGCAAGTACTTATTGGAAGCAGTTCGGATATGAAGCAGCTCATAGTATCAAAAATAGGATGTTACGATCTTGTTGCAGTCATGTTTGGAAAGATACCCCTAAAAGAAATAGATAATCCCGAGAGTGTTATTACGCGAAATGCCATCGACAATGTGGTAACTGGGAAAGAACTATTACGAAATTTGTACAGAAGTGCGCTAAATGTGCGAATGTTAAAAACACCTGATCCGGAACACAAGGAGATAATTAGATTGTTGCACTGCTCTGCGTACAATTGTTCCATAGCAATTGTGTCTTTAAAGACAGATGAAGATTCTTACTTAAGCATTTTCCTTGAGAACAGAAAGAAGAAACAATTGATTTGGGAGAACATTGTGGATTGTCGAAAGCAGTACAATCTTCAGCAGACATTTAAGGAGTATCCGAAGTATCGTAAAAAGCTGACCACTATTAGGAAAAGCATGAGGTCACGGCAGTCTTCTGCACGGTATTCATACATTTACAGTTATAATGTGGGTACCTGTACTTTGAACGAAGATATAAATGCTTACGACTTCAACGAAGCTACTGTACGTAATAATAGTAATAACGCGGACACTGCAGAGGAAAGTATGAGTTTACTGTTTGAAAGCGATGAATTGAACAATCACGAATGTATGGGCTACATTTGTGGTGTACTGAATCATATGATATCGGAAGAGATATCTACACTACCAGATGACAGTAATATCGTAATGCCCGAATGGTTGAAATACTTTTGCAAATCTATGACATCAACCAGTTATGACAACGTTAGATTGTTCATGCTGAAAATTATTTTAAACACGCAAACCGTGTTCAAGCCGTACGCGAAATTTTTTCTTCAACCAATAATACACACCACCTATTCATATTTAAGACAGAATCAATTAAACTATGTCATTGCTGATGTTATAGAGATGCTGATAGATTGGCGGACTGTAGCCGTACCTGATGAAAATCATGGTAAAACCATGGCACAGAAGCTATGGGAAATAATCATTGAAAAAGCTATGGTAAAAAAGACGAGTGAGATTTCGAAAGCTGTTTATAAATATAACATGATTATGATAAAAACAATCCTTGAAACATGGAATGCTTGTTTGCAATTACCTCAGAATTTAACTAATAAGATGAAGACTCTGCCTGGAGCTGCAGTATATTTGATACTAATTTGCATGGTGAATGGAATGGAAAAACATGTTGTTGAAAAGGATGATATCTTCGAGTTTTTGAAAAAATCTTTGGAGGATTGGAAAGACGACGAGGAGACAATTTTGCAGTGCTGCGAATGTTTCGGTTTAATACTTAAGCATTTGGATGAAAGTAATAGTCAATCAAATAAGAAGGGGGCCATAATTGACAAAATTCAAAGTATATTTAGGCAAATGCAAACGACATTTGTGTCCAGACAGATCAAATGTATTCGTGCATTATGCAAAAGTTATCAAAATGCTGGTATGATTTATTTCGAATTTGTTACCGCTAATATATTCAGAGTGGACAGAATGGGACAGTCGCATTGTTTAGAAATATTTTTACAGTGTATACCAAAGCTAGGCGTAGATTTAATATTAAAGGAACTAGCTCATATGAAGTTTCGTGATCTATTGAGGAACAAAGTTTCACTTTGTGAAAAGATAGCATTGCAGATCATTGATTCTTTAGTTCCTATTCTTCCTCCATCAAATTTCTTACCTCTATTAAATTTAGTGCCTCTTTACACAAAACACGATTCTTCTGAATACAGAGAATGTGCCTATGACATATTTATGAATGTTTATAAGAGGTATAGTATTGATACCTCTGATGATGAAAATGTAAGAGAATTGGTGTACAACAGCAGGGAAATGTTGCTTAGTGGCATACTAGAAAAGCTTTAAATACATATACAGCTAATGTTGGCAACAATTTTCTGCCATTTTTGCTTCTGATGATTCTGGACCTTACTAAGAAGTCAACAAAATATATGCAGAAAATGTTCGACGGACCGTTGTACGATTGTCGTTACAGAGATTACAATATAACACCTTCATGGAGAATAAAAAATTTCGGATCAAAAGCTCCACTTTTTGTTCCATCTCTGGCTACACAAATGAATCAAACGTTCATTCAAATGAGTGCTACATTGGCCAATACTAATTTTGATTCTACGAATGCAAGAACGTCTGCAGGATTCAATGCTGAGTTAAATCTTCAAGCTACTCAGGAACTTGAATTCGAACCGACTTACGTCAGTGAAAAAACAGTATTAATGTCAAGTGACTATGACCATGATAACATATTTAAAGTGCCAATAGTGCCACAACCTGCTCATAATAAGAGGTCAAAACGGTTTTTAAATAGTTCGACTGAAATTTCAACAGTTATACGTCAGAAGGAAATTAAGAACAATATACAGCGCGATGAAATGATAAAAGAAGAAGCTGCACGTCAAAGAAGCAGCGTAAAATTGTACAGAAAATATAGAATAGGTGATTTTCCAGATGTTGAAATATCTCACTCTGCATTGATCGAACCACTGCAACAGTTAGTAAAAAAAGACCTACAGATTTGTAAAGATTTAACAGTTTGTATTATTTGCTCTTTAGTAAAAGAACATGGAGGAGACGAGTTTGTAAAAAAAGTTGCAAGTAGTTTAAAACTTATTACACAGACAGAACAAGGAAGTAGTTCTATAATAGCTGCAATTTTAGAAATACTGTTGACCACTCGTGTGGTAAATTGCTCGCCAGAGATCATTGCAAAGGTTTCAAGATTAAATAATTTGCATTTCCTTGGATCACTTGTTATTGAAGAAAATTTAATACATGGTATAAACGATTTTCAACCGTCTAAAAAGAAAGCAAGATACAACGCTGTACAAGAGTCTAATGAATGGTTGCAGTTAACAAACCTATATGAGTCTATGAATGATGTTGACGTAGTTCTCAGCATCTTTCAGAATCATATAACAAATGAGGATATGCGTGAAGCATCATTTGCTCAAGCAGGTAACAATTGGATTGTCGCAAAACAAGCCTATGAGAAAGCCTACGAATCAGGCTCAGAACTGGTCAAAGAGCACTGCCTTCAGGGCTTGTTCGAATCTTTAAGCAACTTATGTCGCTGGGATGAAATTGACAAACGTATTCAAAACAAACTGAATGGAAATATAGACAATATTTGGAACGAACCATGGAAAGACTGGATGTTCCCATGGTTATTTGAGGTTCACGTACGTAAATTGACAGACGAAGACATCAATGACACGTTTTCTGAGGCTGTAAAGATCATGGAAGATTGGTTGAAAGATGATGTGAAAGTGAAGCATATTAAACGATTCTTTGGGAATGAATTGTCAATGTTCTTCCTGTATAATGAACTAGAAGTAGCTCATGATTTTATACTGAACACATTGGATGAAACGAGGGAACAGTGGATCAGACTTCATCCACTGTCTACACAATTAAGAATACGTAACTTACGAAAGTTGCGAATAACGAGTAATATAAATTGGTTCATAAAAGTTTTAAAAACAGTCAAAAATCCACATGGCTTACAAGAAATTTTGAAGTTTTGGAACAACAGTCTACCCTCTGTGCAAGATGCCATACTTCCATCGGACAAATTAACATCTTGCAGAATATACTTCATCCAGTCCCCGTTAAATGACAGATTGGAACTCATGAATGAAACTCAACACGATTCAGAAAGCGTACCAGATAGAGAAGGATCTGGGATCACTAATCAGCTGCACACAGTAGCCTTTAACATGCGATTAAAAATGATCGATGCAGCATTGAATCAGAAAAATAAATACATAGCAAAGAAATACCTGCATCAACTGGAACGTGAAGTGCCGAATTACTCTGAAGATATGAAACATCAATTTTTTTTAACTGGTGCAAAAATAAAGTATTTAAACGGAGAGATTGAAACGAATATGAAGAAGAAGCTATCTAATTATGCTTCTTCTTGGAAACACTGTCATAATTTGTTACAGGAAAATTACCTCGACTCAATGACAAACGTGGGTGTTCGACAACAAGTTAGCAAAATAGCTTCAAAAGTTGCACAGTTAACTCAGAAAGATGAAACATTTTTCAACTTACTGATGAGGAACACTATGATTTTAAATGCAATTAATTCCGAGAGTGACGATCCATCTGTCATTAAAGAGTCATTGGAAACTTACAGTCTGAATCAATTAAAAATGTGTTGTGATACAACAACTGCAAGCATACAAGAATGTTACTTCACCCTATCAAAGTACTGTTACGACAGATTATTGGACGGTACCAGTAGTATTAGTATAAGTAAGGAATTCGTACATTCTACGTTAAAAGCGATGAGTTATGGATCCCTCGATGCAGCACACTATTTTCCTTGTTTGTTAAAACCTGAATATTTTGAAGACGAAGAGACAAAGGATATCTTTTTGAAGGAGAGTGAAGGGGTGGAAACTTGGTTGTTCCTATCTTGGCAAGCTCAACTATTCTCACATTTAGGAACATCCATTGCTCCGTTAATTATACCAATCCTCAAACGGATCGTCGAAATTTATCCAAACGCTGTAATCTACACGTTTCGTTTGACAGTGGAAACTAATCCTGCCCTTCTGAATAAAACTAGAACGTATGAAATTCGACAAATTCTGTACAACAGACCTGAAAACGAGCAGTTTCTACTGGCAATACAGTATGTGGCTCAACCAGAATTATATTTGCACTATTATTTATTAGAATTCTTACAAAATTTATCACTTGGACCAGCTACGGCTGTAGACATCCTTCTGAAGAAAGTATATACAGATACACTGGAGAACGAGTGTGATCCAAAACCGGGGAAAATCTTTAATGAGATTCAATGCTATAGAGCTAAAATAAAGGAATGGGAACGTAAAAAGCCAGATGAAATTAAACAACATGTGGATCAAATCATTAAGGAACTTACAAAGTTGCTTGAAACGCGTAGAGATAGGTTACATTTACAGGACTATAGCCCGTGGTTGTATAAATATTCTGAAAAAGACATAGAGATACCTGGACAGTATACTGGCAACAGAAAACCTATGCCACAATATCACGCCAAAATAATGAAGATAGAACCTACTGTGAAGGTGATGCAGTCACTGCGCAAACCGATTCAAATTATCATGGTTGGTAATGATGCAAAGGAGTACCCTTTCCTCGTAAAATTTGGCGAAGATTTAAGACAAGATCAAAGGTTGCAACAGTTATGCACCATTATGAACAAAACGTTGCACACTGACGCTGCTTGCAGACAACGACAGTTGTCTATTGATACATATCAGGTGGGTGCATAAATGCGGTCTCCGTTTATCAACTTATATTTAGTATTTTAAAACTCAGTATACGAATACTGAATTAGATGAAGTTTATTGACCACCATTGTGCTCAACAAAGTGTAAGGGTATCCTTCTTAATTTGTTGATGCCTAAAATCCTCCATCGTTGTATCTTTTCTTGTAAACATATCTACATGCTTCGCATATAAAGAGTACAGTTAATAATAGGTATTTTTCTGCAACACAGGTGATTCCTTTATCCAAAACAGTAGGCCTAATACAATGGATAGACGACACAAGGTCTTTAGAGGACTTAATACACTTTACACTATCCGAGGAACAAATAAAAAAATATAAATTAATATGTAAAGACTATGATAAATGGATTCGAAGTGCTGCACCTTCTAAGAACCAAATTCAAAGATATAAAGAGGCGACAGTGAAATACAGCGCCTCAAAAGTGAGCGCCAAGATGAATGAATTTATAAGTAAAACGGAATGGGACAGTTTACGCAAAACGTTCACGGTACTATGCCCCTCTGTAGAAAGTTTCCTTACAATGCGTCGAAATTTTATCACCACGTATGCCACTATGTGCATTGCACATTGGATTTTGGGTATTGGTGATCGACATTTTAGGAATATTCTCATTACTATTGGGTCAGGACATTGTTTAGGTATCGATTTTGGTTTAGCCTTTGACGCTGGTGTCGATCTAAGAATTCCTGAATTAGTACCGTTTCGTTTAACGCACCAAATTCTTGGCTTGCTGAAACCTTTCACTGAAAAGGATCTTTTGGGAGCGATAATGATTCACACATTACGAGCGTTGAGGAATGAGTCGGGCCCTATTTTATCTTGCATGGATGTCTTTGTTCATGAACCTTTAAATTGGACCGACAACGTTAACAAAGCGCTACGCGAAGATGAAGACGATATTGCGGACGTGAAATGGATCCCTATGAAAAAGATTAAGGCAGTCACGAAGAAATTAAACGGAATCAAACCATCCTTGATTACGTTGGAACAACTGAAAGAACATCATGACGATAAATATTTTCATAGGTATAATGTTATAGTTACTGGGGATGATGAGATTAAACGAACTCGAGCAACGATGAAGAATGATCTTCTAACACCCGAAGAACAGGTAATATTTCATATGATATTATTTTTGTCATTATTTATTTAAATTAATGACATTTTTAGATTGAATGCTTGCTGGATCAAGCAACCGATTTAAATATCCTAGGCCGCTCGTATGTGGGATGGCAACCTTGGCTTTAAATTATCCAGACTCATATTTATAATGGATTTTTCAAGTGCATAGTTAAAATCTATAGAGTAATAATATATGCTGCATGTAACTATATTTGTACCGTTTTATAAATAAAATGTTATTATTTCATTTGTTATTTTTGGTATGGACGGACCACTACTGAAAGTAAAAAAAAAACTAGTGATTTTAACACCCTCTACATTATAAGGACGGTGAATCCGGGAACTGTATTCAATCTAACCGGACTCAGCTAAACAAACTTTTGTAGCACTGCCAGATTTGAAAAATGCTTTTATTATCGCGTATATTACTATAAGACAAAAGTAAACGATTAATATTTTTAAATTATAGATAAACTTTAATAACCAGATAATTGAAAGTTTTAACCGGATGTACTTTATAGTTGAAGTACATGATAAAACAAAAGCAAAACTTGGTTTTAAGGTTTATTTATCATACTTTTTTCATTTAACAGTTATGCTATGTTAATAGTTCTTTAAATACAATAAATTATACTCACAGTAAACTCTTCCAGCCTTAAAAGACTGAATTGTCAGTCATGCACAATGTGAATGGATTTGTTTTTATTTGTATAAAATTACTATCCGAGAAAATGTTCGCTTGCTTGAAGTGTCCTAGTATGACTTATATATATTTTCTTCAAGTGTACAAATTAGATTCTTATATTTCTTCTTATAGTTCGTATATTACAATGAATTATCTGAACAATATTCAACACTGTTGCATCTGTTCTTGCAATTGGGCATATCGCGTTTGTAATACGCGTTCTCGTTCTGTTTGTCTATTAACGTCTTCCATAAGCGCATTTACTCGTCTTGGTACCGCTGCTTCTTCTTGCGTTTGCAGAAACTTAAACGTCGAAAGTTCTAAATGCGCTTGTTCTATTTGTTCCCATAAATCATGTAACTGTTTCGTCAATACCTGTGCTCTAGTCTATACATAAAAAAAATTGTACACATAGACAATTGTACATAATACTTTTTATATTAAAATAAATCTAAATACCTGGTATCCTCCAGTGAGAACTTTCAATTTCTTTTCCATTCTGGCAGCTCGCTTAGCTTCTCCAGTCATGTGCATACGATTTTCTTCCAATTTTCTTTCACATGCTTCCACTCGGTCTTTTTTCGAAGCTAACGTTGCACGTGTATACCGTTTTTGTGTCTCCAGATACAAAATCTGGGACAAGCACTCTTCCCATACAGTTGTATATGAGTCTAAACTAAGTTCTCCATGTGCCATACCTTCCTTTACAACTGCCATTTCATCACTTAAGAGACTTTTGGCCTAAAGCAAATTGTATACATGACTAAAATGATATAAAGATAACAAAGAATTGTGCAATATCCGATTAACTTACAGCTGTAAGTTCTTCTTCTTCGAAATTAATATACGGATGTTGCTCTAAATAACTCTGTGCCTGAGCTACTGAATTTGAGGCACCCTTACGATTTTGTTGTACCGGATTTTGTAGTGCATCATATTGCATCATTGTAATCATTTCTCTTTTAATTAGTTCCTCTGCCTAAAAATAAACAAACGTTAAAAAGCATATCATTAATGTATAAACTTCTGTTAAATATTAATAAATTGTTTGTTTTTGTACTCTTTGCAAATCTGTTAAGGGAGTGTCCATAAATGGCCTTAAAGTATTCATGTTTACATCAACCGGTCGTGGTAAATCTCGTTGTATGACTTGTGATCTGCGAGATAATTCCTTTTTTCCTATAACGTATAACAATATTACTATAAGAATAATTTTTGTGAGATACCAAGATGTTTTGTACTCAAATGATTACACAACCCTTCAGGAACAACGATTTCGTAATCGTTACGTGGTGTTGGAAGAGCACTAAGGCCAGCACGTAACTGTTCTTTCACTTGTTTCTGAATTAAAGGAGTTTCTGAACCGTCCATATTCTCATCCGGATTAATACTGAGCTTATCGCGAACTGGTGTAGCCGTCAGAACTCCGTTTTGCGTTCGTGTAGACACTGGCGTGTTAAAAGAATTAGCCGGAGTTCCGTCACTTCGTTGTGAGCGAAAAGGTGTAGCCAGAATTGTGTTTGGAGTAGCTACAGCATTTGCAGAAGGAACAACGCCAGTAAAATCTGAATTAGTTAGCGGAGTATTTAATCCACCTGTAAACAACAAATTAAAGCCATTAATACCTTTGACATGTTCCCATATAAAATTTCACATACCTTTTAAAGGAGTATCAACGTGAGTAAGGGCCATAACATTTTGAGCTTCTTGAAGAATTCTGTCTGTAGCAGCTGGTGTACGAGGAGTTGCAGCTGCATTTGTTGGTAAAGAATAATCAGCCAGTAAACTGTCTGATAATGTAATACCACTTTCAGTTGCAACTTCGCGAGCAACCTATTACAAAAAACATAGATTTAAAATATATATCATTTATATTCAATAGACATATAGGATACTGCACCTCTGATGCCCTCCCAAGCTTAACAACTTGCTGCAATTCTTGGTCAGATATCTGTGGTTCTGGTAAAACGAGTTTACTCCGTTTCTTTATTGGCTCTTCATTGTTGAGCATTCCCATTGGAATATCATTCTCTTTGCGTTGTTTTAACTTTTGTTTGTCTTTTCTGCGTTCCATTTCTTCTTTTTCCTGCCTCAATTCCCCATCCAAATGTTGCTGTCTCATTCTAGAGAAATCAATGGCAAGTGGATCGACATGCTCATTGGAAGTGTCATAAAATCCGGAGGCAGGTCGTTTCTCAAACGGAATTTCAGAATTGTAATTAACTCCGCGCTTCCGTTTGTTCTTCTGTGATACAGTAATACCAGCAGCCCTCAATTCTCTGCGTTTTTGTAAGGCTGCAAGTCTGCGAGCTTCCTCTAATTGTTTCTCCCTGGCTTTACGTTTTGCCTTTTTGCCCTGAGTATTTGCAAGCCTCGCACGTGCCTCAGACAACATCTCCAATTCTGAAAATTGCTGTTTTTATTTTTATACATGTGACAAGAAGTAATAGTTCTTAAAATAAAGACTACCATCTTCATCCATATCTTTAGGATCAGGTCTAGCAGGTTTTGTTTCCGGATTTGGATCAATTTCTCCAGGTTTAAGTTTACGAGGATCATCTGCAGCATCATCTCCTTCTTCTTTTTTCTGAGCTTGATCACTGATATAAAAGGAATTAAATATATAGAAGCCGATATTATATAAGCATTCTCCATAATAGTAACTTTTAAATGTTTTTACTCACAGTAAATATTCATAGCGTTCTAAACATTGTGCAGCTGTACGTCCAATAATTGGTGCAATGGTTCTCCATTGTGTCGGCATCAATTTGGCAAGATGTAATAGTTTTTCATCTTCTTCTCTGCTCCATTCTGTCTTCTTGATACTTGGATCCAACCATTCAAACCAACGTGCTTTACATTGTTTGGCAGATTTTCTGTGTAAGAGTGATGCTATCCGACTCCACTGATTTTTGCCATATTTCATAACAGCAGCTTTCAAGATTTCATCCTATAATAAAAACATTAGTTTAGAGAAACATGTTTTGTAATCAAAGCAATAGAGTTTAGGTTAGAGTTTGAATCTTACCTCGGTGTTTCGCCAGACACCACCTTTTATCATAATTCGCGGCATCTTTTATGTATTTTTTATTGCTATTCAATAAACAAACAAACAAACGCCAAAGTATTGGCGATGATCCGTATTCAGTTGATAATTAACAACACCCACATTGGCATATTCAGTCATCGATGGCGACGCTCAATTTAACTGGAATGGCCAATGTGATTGCAGAGACATCAGTGAATAACAGGCACAAACAATATCGATACAGTTTTGAAATATATTTAATTTAAATGTTTAAGTTAGGACGATACTATTTTTTTAGACGTGTTTAATAAACGCAAACAGTTATTTATGCAAGAAATGTATCTCCATTCATTTACAAATTATATTTTTTCATTCTATTTTTAAATAGATACAGTAAGTTTGTATACATTACTTTTTTATATTTATGTTAACTGTTAAACACATTATTTATACTTGAATCATACAACTAAACAAACAAAATGTAATAATAATGATCTTCTGCGTCTGTTTTTTTTTATTTCATATTTACGGGCAGAATACTTTTTATATGTATGTACAAAGATTTAATTTTAATACGAAATCCATACAACACATCTGTACACAATGTACAGTAAATCTAAAAGCTTAATTTATTTACATAGCTTTTTATAAATTAGTTGAATAAATAACAAATTTAACAATAACATACAGTTTACAGAATTATTTAAGCTTCTTTGCATACTGTAAGCCTTTTTTACAGTGATTCTTTTGTCTCTAAAGCATATTGTTTTTATTATTTTACATATTCATTCACTCTTGTTTTCTTTTACATATATATATAATAATAATTATATACATGTGTATAATAACTACATATAAATGAAATTATCAATAGTGATTACCTAGATCAGTTTAGTATCTAAGGCAGTGAATTGATTATTGTATTGTTTATAATATTAATTTTAAGCTGCAGAGTAAGAAATTTTTCAAAATTTTAGACATATACATATATATACATACGAAGACTTTTATAGCAACTAACACTAACGTCTTTAAATACTTATTCATAATATAATTGCAATATATTTGTTATTTATCAATTTTATTCCTGATTATTACTGTAAGTATTAGCTATAACAATTATTTTGTCACCTAAGTACATTGTACCAGATTCTAAATCACCTTCATTGATGATATGTAACCACCTAATCAACAATTTATTTGTTTCCTTCTTTTAATTTCTCTTTGAATTTCAAGGTTTCCAACTAAGAAAGCTATCCTGTATAATTATTTGTTTGAATATACTATGTGTGATAGATTGTGGTACTTTACGATTACGTTGTGCTTCAAAGATGTATGAAACTTTTTCTCTTGCTTCACTGCGAGAAATATCACCTCTAAGGCCCAGCAATCTAATTAGATGATCTTCTACCATATCTGGATACTTTTCAACTAACGAATGCAAATCAAGAGAAAGAATTTCGGAATCTTCACAACGCAATACTTCGGCAAGGCGTTTGATTATTTCAAAAGGAGAATTGAAGTTTCCTACTTTTGGTGCTATTCTATCAAAAAAGTTCTTTAGCTTATCTGCTTCTGTCATTATCTTCGAAGTGCAAGTTAAACATTCATCATATGTTTTTAATGATATCTTTCGTTGCAGCATAGCGGAAATGTAACGTTTTGCAATGAGATTTTGTGCTTCTGTAATGACATACTCAAAATTCTTTGGACATAAATGGTTGTAATCTTGGAAATAATCTTCCAAGGTTACACAGATGGTTTCTACAGGAATTGGAGATGATAACCATTTGGGAGTTATTAGATCTTGAAATTGTGACTCTAAATCCAGGAAAGATTCTTCTAGCAATATGGTTGCTGCTTCATTCCGTAATTGCAGATAATTTGACAATAGGTTTTCAAATTTAACTGTAGCATCTCCACTAGTATTAGGAACCCAGTAAAGTTGTTTCATTTGTTGTGCTAATTCCATAAATTGTAGACAATTATTAACAACTGTAATCATGTGATGTGTGAAGTATGGCACTTGACTTCTATCTTCAAAGTGTTTATTTTTAAATTCCAATATTGCTTGTCTGTACTTGAATCCATATTTAATTACTTGTTCAATGCATAGTACCAATGCTTGTGCTGTTAAATCAGCACTAATCGTTTTTGTCACTTGAAGATTCTGATCAATCATTTGAAATATTATTACAGGCGCTGCAGTGTGGTAGTATGTATCTTGAGTACTGGCTTCTGGTAAAACTCCACTCCACCAATCAACCTTCTCAGTTTCTAAAGTCTTCCGCATCCAATCCTCATAATTTTGGCACATATTTTTCAAGTACTTATCTTGAAGATTATTTATAATTTCTGGACTTAACAAGGGTCCAATGTCACTTGTATCAATATTCAATTCTTTATGCTGCATCAATTCTGGTCCAGTGTAAGTATTCATAATCCATGATAACAAGGACACGTATTCATTTCCTTCTAAACCATTGGCAATTATATCTTTCATATGTTGTGATAAGCTTATGTGGTACATTTTAACAAAAGTTCTTACAATGTTCCACCAAGGTGGAAAGCAAGGCTCACAAAGAGTTTTAACAACTCTTAAGTCTTCTAGAATTAGTAGCCTTGTCAGTTCTAAGTACCTAACTAGCCACATTTTATTATCCACCCTTTCTTCAATGTGAGTTCCTTCAATTCTATTGGCCACAGACTTTTCAAGGACTTTCATAGCCATGTCTTTCCATCTTTTGGGCCTACCTGGTGGCATAAATCCACTTTGTTTATGCCTCTGAATAGCAAAGTGGTCTGCCTTCTCCTCCCTTTCTATAATTCTTAATGCTGTTACAATAACAGTAGGTTCTTTCCTTACAGTATTTAATGTACGACTCAATACTAATCTGATCTGTTTCTCCATCAATTGTGAAAGCATTTCAACATCTTCTAAGTAAGCTTTTAACATAATTGTGTCAGCTGGGGATTGATTTGGCAATTTATGAAGCTCATAAAGTAAATCATCCCTAGAATTCTCAAGATCCATGATGCTCTGATGAGCATGTAACAGCTTCCCCTCATTTATCCATTGCTTAGTCTTTTCGACACTGTCAGGCACAGTGAATGTGTGCTTCAAATTCTCTTTGGCAGTAACATATTGTGAGTGACGCATATTTTCCTCCTGAACAGCTTGTAATTTCGTGTTTAGTTCTGGAATTTGGCTGAACAACACACCGATATCATTTGCATCCTGTTTCACAGAAGCAATACTTTCTAAGGAACTCTGGAGCTGTTCAAAACCCACACGAACTCCATCTAATTGACTTTGCATTGCAGTTTTGAGCATGGTTTCCACGGAAGCTTTTTTCCGGCTTAGTCTACGTTTGTACATATCAATTTTTTCCAATTGCCCTGGACGTTGTAATAAGTTCGTCACATATTTTGTTCCTCTCGCCTTGGCCTCGTCCTCCAATTTCTGCAGATCTTCCATTTTCAAAGCCGTTATAGGTAATTTATGATATTTTAGAAAAACGTTACTTATAAAAGTGGGAGACAACGATTCCCAACAAAATTAGACAAGTTCAAACAGAAGACGTGCAAAGATTATTTAGACATTTGTAAAATCTTGGTTAAGTGTTTTAAGGAGAATTTACATTAAACGGACTCTCCTGTCAATTGTGACGTATGTATGTAAGTTTATACGAATGTACTATAAGGAAAAATGCAAAGAAACTGTGCAAAATACGCTTAACTAGTTTCTCCAGTAACGTTAAATTGTTTATGAAATTCTCCTGAATCGATACTATATATTAATAATTGTGTGTTGTGTCATACCTAAATAATATTTTATTTTTTATATGAATAGAGAAATGATAAAAGAGATCTGTTGTACTATCTATGGCAAAACGTCCAAGCTATTGGCCATTTAGTATCATATTCTTCATAGATGGTAATATAATGCCGTTTTGGCGCTCATCAAGTTAGCAATGTAGTGTTTCCTTTTAATTTAAAACCAATCTGTTTTAATTGATTGCAAACAACATTTAACTTCATCGATAGTGATTAGTAGACTTTAACAGATTATTGAACTAACTTAAATAGGATATTCTCTAAATATTTATTTGCTGACGTTAGCACAAATGGAGCATTACATATTCCATTCATAATACGTGTATCCAATATGATTTGGTGGGAATAAAAATATCTGATGCTTCGGTTTAAAACATGAATATTGTAATACTGATGAAATATGATAACTTATTCTAAATTTCATCGTTAATGAACATTTTAGTAATGTTACGTTTCCCACGTTCCCCTTTTTATTCGTTTTTATATTTTTTTAAATATAATAGATTAGAAACCTAATACGCACAATCAATTACTTTCTGGTAATTGGTGAGGAAGTAATTAAACAATGAACTTCGACCCAACTAGAGCTTAGCTAGT